AATCTTAGTTAATTTTTAAAAAACCTACTCTAAATTTTGAGGTTCCATGGTGGAAAAATAACAATTATGTCATTTTTAACTGTTACTATAAGGGAAATCCTACAACTTAAATCTTCATCTATGATTATATTCATGATAAAGCACTTCTTGTGAACTCAAGTCCCAGGTTTACACACAAAATCTTAAAAAAAATTTTTTTTAATATTTTTATTTGTTTTTGAGACAGAGAGACAGAGCATGAGCAGGGGAAGGGCAGAGAGAGTGGGAGACAGAATCTGAAGCAGGCTCCAGGCTCTGAGCTGCCAGCACAGAGCCCGACGCGGGGCTCGAACTCATGGAACTGCGAGATCATGACCTGAGCTGAAGTCAGATAGATACTTAACCGACTGAACCACCCAGGCGCCCCATACACACAAAATCTTATCCAAACAAGAGTCAGCCACAGAAATTATATCTATTTTAGTTCCCAACTAAAATCTTGTAAATTTTGCCTACTATCCATAAAAGGCGGAGACAGAAGGCACAGCTGTGGAGAGTATAGAACCCCAGAACTCAAAACTTTTTTCTTGTTTCTATCATCTTTCAAGTCAGTACAAACTGTATTTGATTCAAGATAAAGCACTTCTTAACAATTCTAACATATAAGTAAAACTGTGTGTAACATTTCCAATGAAATTTAGTTTTTGAAACTGTACAAAAATCCCTCATCAGTTTTAAAATAGTAGCTTTCTGAAACTCTGATAATGGATGAATTAATCTATTAAATAGGAATGAAATGAACCCACCCAGATTCCATAAATTTGAGTAAAATTATAGTTATGCTGATTTAAAGCAAAATCAATGTACTAAAGAGTGATATTTCTGCATACATCCTTTAATGAGTATCTGTTGGAAACACACAAAGTGGCAGAAAAATCTCTTTAACAGAAGATACATGCAGTACCCCCAAAATGTAGAAGTTCTAGCAGCACCATAAGAATATATTATTGAAACATTAAAAGAATGTAAATATAATCAGTGCTTAAAAGAACCTTTTTTCCATTAAGATAACCAAAACGTTATTAAAATTCGTCACTACGAAAATAGTTTCACGAACTACTAATGCATGTGTATGTCTGTTCTGGACTCTCAGAAATATGGTAACAGCACTTATTTATCAACATATTCCTGTATATTTGGGAGCATAAATTTACAATGAACAAAATAAAAAGTTTTAGTTTTCAGTATTACGTTGTAACACCAGGACACTAATAAAATTATTTCCAAGAGAATTTTAAACAGCTTTAAATCTTAAAAAAACAAATCCTATGTTTTCTTCTTCTTAAGTGCTAACAAGTAATTTCAAAATTCTATACAGTCAATGTTATGAAGAAACAATAACTCCCTGGGAGGAGAAAACAAAACCTTCACCCAACTGTATATGCTGGTCTATTAGCATATAGCTCTTCATTTAGTATATAGCTAATCCAAGACTAAGGTCTCAAAGGATGCCCTGAACACTTCAGTTGGTCAGTGTATACCTGCTCAGTCCCAAAATGATTTTTATCATTTAGGTTAAAAAATATTTTAAGAAAATACAGCAAGTTAGATAAAATGTAATGCTATTTCCTCAAAGAAATTAGTGAATATTTTCATCCTCACAAACTCCCTTGTTTACACATCCTAAACTTTAAAAAAGCATTTAAATAAATACATTATAAATTTATTAATTTATTGAAACTTAGTGAGAATGTTTTTGCATAGCTGACGGCAAGGGCATAAAACAGTACTTTAGCACTTGACTACGGAGTATTTAACAGCCCATACATTTCAAAATTTAGTTCAGCAGTATAATTACAAATCAAAGAGTAAATAATTCAAGGTAACCTGATAATGCCACTGAATTAGAGAATATAAAAAACTGTACTACCCTCGTAAATAAGTTTTTAAAAAGCTAAAAAGTAGTTTAAAAAGTATTTGTGGATGAAATTATGTCTGAGATTTGTTTTAAAAATAATACAAAAGTGGAAGAGTGTGCAGGGATAGAAATGAATTGAGATTAGCCATTTTTTCATAATTCTTGAAGCTGGGTGATGCACTAATGGGAGTTCATTACAGTATTCTTTCATAAACATGAAAAATTGTATAAGTTTAAAGAGGAACAAAAAAAATCTTGCTTGTATCTTTAAAGCTAGTACTTTTTAAAAAGTACATAAAACTTACAGAGAGTAAAGAGCCAACTGTAGCAACATTACTAAAATTTTCAGGACCAAATGAAAATCAGGGCTTTCTTTTGGTATGTTAATTAATTCATGAGATTTAGGCATACAGTTTGAATTTTAAGAGCACAAATTGTCTTGCTACGTGCTATTACACCATCAACTCTTAATTAACTTGAATAACTAGATCACTGTTCCCCATATCCTTCCTTTACAAAGGACAACACATAGACATAGACATTCGAGTGTTTTGCTCCTTATGTAGCAATAAGACGGCAGAACAGAGAAATGCTGGCAAAATATTTTTTGTTCATTCTTTTCTCTTGAAATAAGGAAAAAAAGGCAAAATAGCCTAAATAAGCCTTAAAAACATTAATTGTCTTCCTTTGTCACGGGGAAAAAAAAAAAGTGTTTCAAGTGTAAACACAAGTTTCAGATTTAAGTGAAGATTACTTTAATATTCTTTGTGTTTCTAATTCATGAAACACTGATCCTATGTCTACAGAGTTCTCCTAGGACAGGAAGTTATTAACTTCCTGACAACAATGTGCATGTTATGGGAATGGAGCTAAAATACACTATTAACCACCGGCTGTACCTACTGGGGTCAAAAGGTGATCTGTACTACTACTAAAGTTTTTACTACTGAACAATGTGACCTAGCACAACTCACCTAACCTCTGTGATTTAGTCTCCTCATGTGTCAAAGGTACACATTTTCAAACTTGGACGTTTTACACCATGATCCAGAACACACACATAAATCTGTATAGGACTAAAATAAAGTTTCTACTTTTAACGTGATTTTTACTCTGATGTTTCCTATTTTATTATGTTTCATTTCTCAGAATGCCATGAATAACCTAAATTGATTTCAAACTACCAGTTTGGAAGATCTTGGTTTATACCATCTTTAAGGTCTCTTCTGTTATTTTGGGATTCTAACACTGGCTATAAAACATTCAGTCTTCTATTTCAGGTGGAAATCAAACCACTTCAGAAAATAATCTTCAAAAATCTTATAAACTAAAGAATATTTAAAATACTCTAACAGGAGAACTATAAGATTGTGTTAATACCTTTAACATAATTAAAAGCTTAAAATGACCTGTTAAATTCTTTTCAGAACTCAAAGTATCTCCATGGCTAATCTATAGATTCTACCAAAGAAGCTGTATCTTCAAATCAAAGTAAGTCCTATTAGACTCCCAGGAACAGAGAAAATCAATAGATGACTAATTCTAGTTAGTAAATTCAAGTACAAAGGATTAGTAAAACAAACATTCTGAGAATTTGGGGTGTATAAAGTAAAGCAGAAACAGTTTTTACAAATGTTAAATATAAAAGTTATTTCCAAAGCTACAGTATTCAATGCACATGGCTCATTTAAGTGTTAGCCAAAGAAATCAAGTTTGTAATTATATGCAGTGCATTTAAGTCTTTGAAATGGGTCTGCTAAATTTAATAGGAATAAAATTTTTCCTTCCCTTGGCATTTTTTTAAATCTACATACTAATCACATTGCTCTTTAATTCTAATTGTATATTCAAAAAAAGTGTGTACTTTATAAATCAATGTGAAAATGCAGTCTTCAGGGAACTCAAAAATTTTCATGTGTTCAGTAATGTTTGTAACAACAGAAAAGAGAATATGCTTACACTGCAATAGTTAAAGCATGATCTCCATGATAATTCTAAGATATGTCTACTGTTTTATGCAAAATTACTGCATTTTTAGGAACAAAATTAGAATACCTCAAAATCAAATAGTTTTCCTCACACATTCTTAAAAAAACCCTGTAACTAATTTCTTCTTCCTCAATCTGACCATGAGGTCTCTCAATGTTTGTCTCTGATATGTATAATCTATGTTGCCTCTAACAGTTAACAAATTCAATCGAAATTAGAATTCTCATGGAAGAGTTTGGATGATATCACTTCACAATTTTTCTGAATATGCTAAAGAATTTGATTTTTTAAGAAGTGGTCTTGAAAAGAAAGTAGTTTTCCTATGTTGTGCATCTCTTAACTTTATTTAAAATTACCTAGTCAAAAGTTTCCAAAGGATGAAAATTAATTTTAAGACAGTGACTAATAGGTTTTTGTTTACATTTGCAAGGGTACAGTTCCACAGACCTCCCTACATCCTAAAAATACCACAGAATAGCAAATAATTAATGTAACTGGTTTAGAACACATTTAAGATACACTGTATCTTTTTCAAGTACCAAATTCTTTTAAAATTCAGAAGTATGTGAAGATTTATCTTCTGTTAGTTGATATGCAAAATCTAAATCTGACATTAACACTAATAGAAGTGACAATAACTCGTTTCCTTCTGTGAAATCCTATGGTGACATCACCTCTAAGAGTACGGTAAAGCTTAATTTCAGAGTAGGAAGCCTGTTTTTTTAAAAAAATGTATAACCCTCAAGAACACAGATGAAAGTGGAAACCAGGTTAACAAAGAGGCCTTTTACGGCTGTGTTAAAAAAAAAAGAGAGAGAAGAGATTTATAATAAGATATTGTTTCACTGAAAAGTGATTTGTGCTGCAATTAACTAGGTAGCCCTTTTTCTACATAAAGGAAATGTTCATTCCAGTCCATCTAGCCATCCATAAACTATAAATTATAAAAACCTTTCTGAGGTTAACAGAAAAAGTAAAAAAAAAAAAAAAAAAAAAAAAAGACTGACCTGGAATTTTCACTCAGGGTAGTAACTTTGCAAGATTTATCTAAAACCAAGTAAGTTTCCATATTTACACATTTTACTTAATCATGATGGTTGAATTGAATCTGTACCTATGTGAAAATGGCAATGCATTCTGAGTTGGTTCAGCCCTTGGTTCTGAGTTCTGTGTCACGTCAGGTGCTCTTTCATCATCTGTTCCATTGATACTTTCTGGTGTTAAAGGAGACTGAAGATCCCCGCCTGCTGATTCCTTTAAAAAAAGGGAGGTAGGGGATAAAAGTGTTACGCTTTTGTTAAAATACACAAGATTATCTTCAAGTTAAGAGTGACTCTGATGTATGTTTACTTACAAACCATATTTCCATTGAAATATGAGTCAAAGATTTAAAAAAGGAAATTTAAAGGAGAAATAATTTTTTAAAGCAAAGCAACTCATAAAATTATCTGAAACAATACAATTTAGAAATGTAAAGATAACACAATTTAGAAAGGTAGTTTCAAAGAATTGAAAAGCTTTTGGGTTTATATAAGCAATTAATTGGTTAGAAGAAAAGATATTCAAAGAATTACTGAAGAAAAAGAAGATAGCACAAAAATGGAAGAAAATGTGATTTTACTTGGGGAAGTAGGAAGGCAAAGGGAAGAAAGAAATCAAGTTTTAATTTTTTTATCTGCCCTACTTTTCAGTTCCGGAGTTATCTACAAAAGCAGCCAGAAATCTCTCTGTAACATATACAAAGTGAGTTTATTTCAGCTTTTCTTGCCTGTTACTCATAATGGAATTATTTTTCTTCACAAAATTTTCTGTCTTATTTCTACTTTTAATTAAGATTTGTCTATCAAGGCAAACTTAATTTATTCTTCTGGAAAACAAGTGGGCTTTAAAATGCAGCTCAAACTGACACTTATTATTGTCACTGCATCATAAGATTATCTAAATTTGGTATTAGTAGAGATCAGAACAAGGGCTCATTGGACAAACCTGTTAACCAGGGGCAATCTTAGCATGGGATCATTAAAGTGCAACTCTGTGGACCCCTTGGGATCTCTGGGCACTGAAAGTTTACAACTGAAATATTAGGCTATGCTAGTGAAGAAAATGAAAACATCAGTGTCCAAGAGGAGAGTGGGTAGGTATGGTCACCATCTGCCAACTTGAAAGAATACAGGTTTTCTTCAAATAAAAACAAGACAGGCACCTGAGCTGGTTTAGTTCCTAGAGCATATGACTCCTGATCTCTACTGGACTGGACTGGAATCTCTACTCTAGAGTTTACTTTAAAAACAAAAACAAAAACAAAAACAAAACAAAACAAAAAAAAAAAACAACCAACAAGAAAAATATGTGTAATACAGGAAAATGCTTAGAATTAGAAAAATATGTAAATATAAGGAAATATCTATTTTATGATAGTTTATATACTTTACCTAAAAATATTGTACATGGAGAAATGTTAGGAATATAGAAAATATTACTGTGGTGAGGGTAACTTTCTTTTGTGGGTTTCTGGTTTTAAATTGCATGTATTTTATTTCATATGTAAATATTTTAACTCATTATACCATAATGCTATTAATTATACAAGCTTATTAAAGGTCAAAAGGCTACTTTCTTGATTCCACCTTATCACTTCACTATTTTTCAATTATTAATGGAATTTCCATATTGACCTTTAATTTCATTCTCCTAAATCCTCTTTGTTTCTAGTAATTGATGGTCAGTCCAAGAATAAGGTTTACAGTATAATGTTACAACATAAAACCATATCCAAGGTGGTTACTTCTAGGTCAGTTATGGATCACGTGAATCAGCCAGAAAAAGTTTAAGCAGCAAGAAGAAATTAATCAGAGCTATTTCTCTCCAAGAAAGACCAAACCAAACTAAAATAATCAAGGTGGACTGTCCAATCAGCTAAACAGTAAGTTGATTCAGTGGAAATGAGAACAAAATAAGTTACGTTGTTAACCTGAAAGGGCATAACCAGCATTAGCAACTAAGGATTCACCTAGAGATTTGCTAGAATTGACTGATATGAGTGTGAGGAACAAAAGTAGATCAGGATTAAGAGAGAGAAGAAAGAGGGACAGTTGTTTGATTTCTGGTTCTCACTGCCTTCGGGGGAAAATGAGTGTTTGGGTGCATGGGTCTTGGGGGGATTAGGAAAGCTGATGTTACTGAAGTAGAAAAACCATTTCAGAGGCAGGAGAAAAAGGAAGAAGGAAGGAGAGGAAGAAAGCGATCGAGGCTGCGACAATTCCAGTATCGCAATTCAACAAGCTTTTCATTAGAAAACTTGAATATTAGCTATATTTAATGAAAGGTAGATTTAGTTACCCTAGACATTATATCTAAAGTGAAAACAAAAAGCCCAGAGCATGTTTCTTTTTTTTTTTTTAAAGCAGGTTAAAAATTCATAAAATCCTAAGAAAGAGTTCCAACAGTGCATTGGAGCATAAAAGGAAAATGAGATTCCTTTGACTTTTAACTGCCCCACAGGTAGTGAAAAGTATTCTGTGAAACTTTCCAGGAATTTCATACATGCTGAAAATAGCACAGCTGTTTTATTTAACATATTCCAAACATCTAGTTCTTTTTTAATCTAAATTTTGTGTAATTTTTAAAAATGTTTATTTATTTTGAGAGAAAAAGAGAGAGAGAGAGAGAGAGAGAGAGAGAGAGAGAGAGAGAGAGAGAGA